ATGTCAAAGCAGCTGGAGTTTAGAGGGGGAAAAATGCCACGAAGGCTGCTAAATAAAATCCAAGCTGTTTTCTTTTGCTTTAAGTGTAAAAGAGAAACAGGCAGCTTAATTTTATCCAGATACAAAGAGTTTATACCAGTTTGCCAGTTTCAGTGGTTTTACTTTGTTCAGCTGTTTTCAGTTCCTCTTTCACACAACAGTGAAATATATGTTGCACAAAAAATGTCATGATGTTTGTCTAAAAATGGGTAAATGTTGGAGTGAGTGAGGTAGCCAGACTTCCTTATGGTCATCAGCTGGTTGCAAAATGATTCTTGTCAAAACCACTTTTTAAATATTTTCTTGGATTGTGACCCAGACAGGGACATTTTGGCTGTGAATTACTGCAGGAAAAAAACAGAAGAAACACTTGTTCTTATTTGTTTAATAATGATTTTAAGAAGTGATTTGGGGTAAACCCAAAGCATTTAATTTCTCCTAAAAGAACATCCTGAGAGGAAAAATTTACATGTTTTATTTCAAAAGTATTAAACATTCCATTATTTTCAGAAAATATATTTGATGTTAACAATAATTTTTTCCTCCTTGGTAGTGCAAACTCTTTGTTTGTATTAGAAGATAATTTTGGTCCCAAAAAAAGTTACAGGTTTTTTTTTAAATCTTTTATGTATCAGAAAATATCTCCCAATTATTATAGGTCTGGATACAGTAAGCAAGCACATTAAATCCAGAAAAATCCACATTTGCTCAGCTGTCAAGCACATCCATTGAACCCAAGGAACGGATAGTCTGAGGGAAAGACATCCTAGTTACTGTAAGTGGAATTTTAGTGAGGTTTTCTATTTGAAATCTTCCTTCTAAACTTCTCTCTCTCACATCCGTGATTTTTGTTTTAATTTTCCTTTTTACTACAACCAAAAAAAAGTCATTATTCGAGTATTGTCAAGGGGTGAAAAACCAGCCCAAAAGGCTTGCTTTCACAAAGGAGGGTTGTTTTTCCAAGTGTTTACTGCATTCTTTGTTCATAATGTATATTTAATTTTAAATATTTATCTATTTCAGAGTAGCTGATTTGCAGACTACTTATCTTTGAATTTGGATCTTGTAATGAAATCTTTACCAAATCTGTTTTCTTGATGAGGTACAGAGATGCATCGGACTCAACTGACCCCAGAAGATTCTTCACCTCTGACCTGAGGCTGCACAATGTAAATATTGGACAAGAGCCTGGTATATTAAAAATCTCCCCTTCTTCTGTCCTTCTTGGTCATGGCCACATTGAGTTTGGGATTGCAAAGGCCAAAAGAAGGACATGACTCATCTTGGAAAAATAGAAATAGAGCTGGCAAGAGTAGGAGTGAAGTGGGAGTGTGAGGAGTTATCTGTTAGGAAAATTCTGTCAGATGTTGCCCATGCCCTTATCTAGAGTTTAGGAAGACAAATTCATTAGATACTAATGAATTACAGCAGAATTATTAACACAGACATCTCATTATTAAGACAGACATGGAGGGCCATTGTCCCATCCATATAGACCCACCTTAAAACATCTTTAAATTACTGGAGATATTTACCACTCCCCATCATAGTTTTGTGGAAAATACACAATACCACAGAGAAATAATAAGTATACATTTAAATGCTGAAAAGTGTGGCTAAGTGCTCAGAAATATCATACAAACTACCCTGTGTGCTATCTCCAGTATTAAGTTATGCAGCACCTCAGTATCACATAAAAGGATTTACAAGGGGAGCTGGAGCTCTGTTTTAACTTCCCCCCACCCATGGTATTTGCACCATCCTTGTCAAATGGAGTTCAAAAGCATCAACTCAGTGGGGTATTTCATCTTCCTTCTTCAAACAGCACCAGCCCACACAGTCATCTCCCTCAAGACGCAGCAGAACCTGCTGATGAGCGTAGGCAATATTCCACAGGAAAGAGGAACATTATTTTTATGGCAAAATTAGTGGGATTGCTGCTATCATGTGCTTGTCACTCCAGAAAACCAGCAGTAAAAACCAAAAAAGTTGATTGAACTCAATGGATGTTTCCTACACTCAGTCCATGTTACAACTGGCAAATTAGCAATGCATTTCTCTAATAGAAAAGAAAAATCTGAATGAAAAAAGAAATTAAGACTTGGTGGAGCTGAAAAATCACAGAATACTTTGGGTTGCCCTGAGAAGCTCTGGCTGCCCTGTGCCTGGAAGTGTCCAAGGCCAGGTTGCATGGGGCTCTGAGCAACCTGGGATACTGGCAGATGTCCCTGCCCATGGCAAGGGTTTGGAACAAGATGATCTTTAAGATTCTTTCCAACCCATTCCACCTTTGTGGAGATGTGGAATGGCTTCCCAACTTTGTTGTGACAATAGTCCATCTTTCATACACTTAAACAAACAAGCTGACATAATTTCTAGTTTCATTCCCCTGCTGTATTTCTCCCAAAGCCTCGCCAGGGCTCAAGGGGGAACCAAGGGAGTTGTCATTGATTGTGTACCCACCTAATTAGGCCAGATGTGGCCTTATCCAGTTTCTGGATATGGAAAGGTAAACACATGTTTTGCCAATAAACAAACACACACCAAACACACACATATAACAATAGCTCATTAATGATTGAAAAGTAAATATATATATATATATATATATATATATATATATATATAACATTTGGTTGGAAGGTTCATCTAGAGGCAGCTTTGGCTCAGGGCCTGTTGTTTAGGCCTCAGCACTTCAGCCTGCCACAGAATTTCTGGACATGTCTCCCTGTCAGGTCTGAGGGCCACTGCAAACCTTCATTTGACTGCAATACAAACTTCTGAGTCATCAACCACCACAGAAACTGCTTCACTTCCTATTCTTTCTCTCACACATTTGGTGTTTGCTTGGCTTCTCTAGGCCTCTGATTATGGGACATGGGGCACAGTTGTCATTGATTGTGTACCCACCTAATTAGGCCAGATGTGGCCTTATCCAGTTTCTGGATATGGAAAGGTAAACACATGTTTTGCCAATAAACAAACACACACCAAACACACACATATAACAATAGCTCATTAATGATTGAAAAGTAAATATATATATATATATATATATATATATATATATATATAACATTTGGTTGGAAGGTTCATCTAGAGGCAGCTTTGGCTCAGGGCCTGTTGTTTAGGCCTCAGCACTTCAGCCTGCCACAGAATTTCTGGACATGTCTCCCTGTCAGGTCTGAGGGCCACTGCAAACCTTCATTTGACTGCAATACAAACTTCTGAGTCATCAACCACCACAGAAACTGCTTCACTTCCTATTCTTTCTCTCACACATTTGGTGTTTGCTTGGCTTCTCTAGGCCTCTGATTATGGGACATGGGGCACAGAATACCAGAACACATCCCTGGCCCTTTGAAGAAGCCTCTGCCATGACCACTGGCACCAGAGGGTGTTCCAGATCTGATGGCCCTGAGAGAATATATCCGTAATGGAAAATTGTCTTCCTGTGGGAGAAATAGGTTCAATCAGAATTGGTATTTATTTTATTAAAAACGACTCAACTTTTTCCTATAGTTTGTTCTAAATCAGAAAAGCAATGTGTTATATTTTTATAAAGACAGGAATACAGTAATCATTGAATCATAGAATGGTTTGGGTTGGAAGACACCTTAAGATCATCTCATTTCACCTTCCCTGTCATGGGCAGGGACACGTTCCACTATCCCAGGTTGCTCAGAGCCCCATCCAACCTGACTTTGGACAATTCTAGGCATGAGGCAGCCACACTTCTTTGGGAATCTGTACCAAGGCCTCACCATGCTCACAGAGAAGAATTTATTCCTAATATCCAATTTAGCCCACTCTCTGTAAGTGTGAAGCCATTTCCTCTTGCAGACACTCCAGGCCCTTGTCAAGAGTCTCTCTCCATCTTTCGTGTGGCTCCCTTCAGGCACTGGAAGGTCACAGTTAGATCACCCCAGAGCTTTTGTTCTCCAGACGCAAAAATCTCATTCTCTCAGACTTTCCTCATGGCAGAGGTTCTCCAGCTTCTCAACACTTTGTTTGCCTCATCTGGACTCTCTCCAATAGTTCCATGCCCTTCCTGCGCTAGGACTCCAGAGAGAAAAGAGGTCACACCTCAGCCTCCTTTTCTCCATACTGGACAAACCATGGAATCCTCAGCTGCTCCTCACAGGACATTCCTTCCAACACTTCCACCAGCTTTGTTCCCTTCCTCTGAGCCTCCATTCAAGGATCTTCACATCCTGCTTAAATTCTAGGGCCCTGGGCTGGTTTTAGCTGGGATAGAGTTAATTTCCTTCATAGCAACTGGTATTTTGGATTTGTGCTGGAACAGTGTTGAGAACACAGGAATGTTTTAATTTTTGCTGAGCAGAGATTAAAGAGAGTGAGAGTCCTCTGTTTGTCATCCCACGACACCACTGAGGGGGCTGAGGGTGCACAAGGAATTGAGAGGGGACACAGCTGACCCCAACTGCCCAGAAGGATATTACAAACTTGGAAAGCCAAGGGATAGTTTTGTTTAGGCCACATTATTCCAGTTGCTGCCTTAAGCACCTTTTGCGCTTCCCAAAACAGGCTGGACCAATCTCACTTTCTGATCCCCATTTTGCCTCCAGAACTCCCTTGTAGAGAAGCAGAAAATGTCTGTGAGCTGCACAGAGGCCACAGTGCTCAGGACACAGCAGGGCAAAGTGTTTTGTGTGTGGGTGGTGAAGCTTTGGGAACTCAAGACACTTCCAATCCAGAACCACTTCCCAACACAGGTGACTTCAGGGAGGCCGTGAACTTATATTTCCTCATGTTACTGACATAAAACCCTGTGCCATCAATAGATGAAGTATAAATAGAATTCTCTTCTCATTAGAAGTTGATGCATGACCAGAAGAGTCAAGAACTTCCTCCTGAGGGTTGGAGAGGGGAGGGAGCTCTGAGTTGTACCCAACCCAGAGTGTCACTGTCAGAACAGCCAAGGGAGGGGAAAAGGAGAAGCAGCAACAAGTATGGCAGAAAATGTCCTTTATGCTGACCTGAACTTGCCTGAACCAACTAGACCCAGAATCCTAATGCTCCCTGATGTCCAAGGTAGGTCTGAACACTGAGCTTTCTTTGCATTCTCCAGTCTCTCTCCCACATATGTTGAGAGAGTTCCTTGGAGCACCCAAGTCCCAAAGAGCACAAGGGAAACATGAGGGCCAGTGCTGGAAAACTGCAGGTGGAGTGTCTAGAGAGGGTTGTTTATATTTACAAAGGCAAGTTGTTGGAAGATCTACTTTTTTCTTGCTAAGGTGCAAGTGTGAGGCAGTATGTCTGGTGTGATATTAAGAGTCGTTTTATCCATTTTGGAGACCATTCCAGAGCTGAACATCCATTGCTCCTTGTCCTGGCCTGTTGTCCCCCAGCAGACTGAGATTCCTGCAGCACACTGCCCAGGATGGAGTGGCTGCTGTTGCAGGTGTTCACAGCAGTCTCCTGCACAGTTGTTCCTGCTCCCTGAGCACAGCAGGCACTGCCTCGGGGCTTCTCCTCCTGCTCTGGCTGTACAAACTGCTTGTTGAATGCACAAGTCTGAAATTTTTCATGGACAGGTTTAGTCTGATTAAGGATCAAAGACTTTGCAAAATTCTAACCAAGGATTTATCTTTCTTTAATACACTAACAATTTTTACATAAATGGTTACACTGGTTTTTCAATACCTGCCTTAAAATTCATCCTAACAGTTAACAGACTTCATAGAGTGTATTTAATTTTCATTTTTCTTTCCTTTCTTTCTAACCCTGCTTTCATTCTGGCAGAAATTATTTCTTGCCATCCAGTGCTTTTCCTTTGCAGAAAGCGTGAACCCTCTGCATGTCTTTTCAGATGGGTGGAGTTACTAACACCCAGGAAACAGGGTTTTACCCCCCCTTTCAACAGATGAATTCAGAGCTCAATTGACCACAATAGAAGCCACCTGATTACAAGTTCCATTTTCCTTATAATGTAACCCATGTATTCTTATCCAAAATTTTGATAGATTTCTAGCAACATTTTGCTGTTTCTCTGCTTGTGCCTTTCAGGGAAGCCCTTACCAAATCTTCTATGTGTTCTCTGAATTTATGCGCAAGATTTCCCAGATATTGTCTCCAGCTTCTGAAAAGAGCTCAAAACCGTGATTTCTGTCTTTCCTCTTTACAGTGATAGAATCCAGGGGGTCAGTTTGAATATCACGATGACTTGGAGAGTTTTATAACATTGCAACGTCCTATTTTTGATTTTCTACCCACTTTTTATCTCTCTCTGACCTTTATTTCCTCTCTACAGGTTTTCTTCCCTGCTGCTTTGTATTTATTACCTGCAGATGGTAAAACAGATTTCACTATTCTCCCTGTTATCTTGTTAATTTAGATAAAATCTTGAACCTCTCCAATTTTAGCACAATCTGCAAACCTTTTCAGGTTTGATGTTTTAGTCATTCTTACCATTCCTGTTGGGATGAACAACCTTAGGCCACCCTTGGCACTTCCCTTTTGTCAAGACTGACAATGTGAGTGTGTGCCCCTGTCCCCTCTGGTATTGTCTGCCTTGAAGAGAAACCAGATCTCTTCCTGCCTCTGTCAAGTGCTCCAAGGGTGAAAGTGGTGAAAGTGTCATCATGGAATCAGAATACCCTGAGCTGGAAGGGACTCACAAGGATCCTCTAGTCCAACTCCTGGCCCTGCACAGATACCTCCTGTGGATCCCTGAGAGCATTGTCCAAATGCTGCTTGAGCTCTGGCAGTCCTGAGGCTGTGACCATTCCCTGTGGAGCCTGTTCAGTGCCCCAGCACCCCCTGGGGGAAGAACCTTTCCCTGATATCCAATCTGACCTTGTCCTGACACAGCTCCAGCTGTTCCCTTGGGTCCTGTTCCTGGTCACACAGAGCAGAGATCAGTGCTTATAACAAGAAAAATATAATTTGTACGTAGTTATCCACAGTCACATCAACCAAATGCTGTCCTATGTTCAGCATTTCTCAGAATTTTAGTCATTTTTGTTTCATTTAAGTTGATTCTCAGCTCTCTCTGTGCTCTGTTCTTGTTCCCAGGCTCAGGTTGTACCTATGCAGAAGTGAAAGTGAAAGCCCAAGACCCAAATGCTGCAGCAAACTGCAAATCAGCAGGTGAGTTTAGTTGTCTGATAAAGTGATGGGAATTTAAACAAGAAGGGCAGAGGGGCTGATCCTGATCCCCCAAACACACAGTGACACAAAACCAGGAGGAGGCAGAAGGATACAATTGTCTGCTTTCCACGCTCAGAGCAGGGGCAGCTGAGGTGTTGCATTCTGTGCCCCTAAACACTTGTTGGATTTCCTGGCAGAGGGACAGAAGGATGTAATGGGCCACACCCAGACACCCACCGAGCCCAGGCTCCTGTCCCCAGAAGCAGGGGAAAGTGAACAAAGGAGATGAGGAAGCAGAGGGAGGGCATTGATTGCAAGGACTCTTCTCCTTTTCACCTCTCCTCAAACCCATGGCAGGTTGGGATCTGTTCAGTTTCCTGAGCACAGGGGTCCAGAGCTAGTGGGGAAGCACCAGGACATTGAGCCTGGATCCAGCCTGCAGATCTGGAAGGCTCCAGAGTACCAGTGGGAGCCTAAAAAGGGCACCTTGGAATGCAGAGGAAAGGGGCTTCTGTCCAGCTGTTCCCCTAATGTTTATTTTTCTGTTCCTCTGTAGGTAAAAGCCATTGTTCCAGAAAACATGTCGCTATATTGGTGGTGATAATCCTCATACTGGTCCTGGCAGTATATTTAGTAATCACATGTAAGTTCTTTTGTTAGTGTCATAACAGCCATTTATTTGTGTCTCTCTCCCACTGTCTGATGTCCAGGCCATGATATCCAAAGCCAGTAGGAACAGAAGTTTGGTTTGAAGGCAAAGGACAGCAGTTTTTAGCCAACCATAGCTGTAAGAGGATATCTGTAAGAGAGTTGAGTGGTTTGAAAGTTGAAAATTCCAACAGATTAAAAAGCCAAAATCCCAATGAAAAATGGACAACATTCAAATAACAAGGAATTTATTATACAAATGTTTTGAAGAAACAAGTTAAGATTTGATAATGCCTGCCAGTAATACAATTGCTAAGTGGGAGAATCCCACAAGCTGATGAGGTTGTATCATGAGACCAAGATGTCCATAACACCAAAAATCTTAAAATAATTATGAATTAAAGTTCATTTGAAGGAGGAACTAAATCACATCTCAAAGGAGTTTGCTTAGGATCATGGGATATTTTGAGCTACGTAAAAAGATAAATTATATTTTATAGAAAAAAAATCTTACTTCCATCAGAAAAAAAAAAAAAAAAAAAAAAAAAAAAAAAAAGAGACCCAATTGTTATTTCCTTTAAAAGTTTTCAAGGTATCATTTTAAAATTTCAGATGGTTTTGCTTGTTTCTTTCCATCCTTTGATAGCTGAGAAAACTTGTGAAGCTTCCACAACCAATCACTCTCAAGTCCCAGAGTTTGCCAGCTGCTCAGAGATGCACATGGGGAAGATAGGGCAAAGCCTTTGATCATTGGAACTTAAAAAACAAGGCTGGGGTAGGCAAGGCATTCTTTTTTAAGGCAGAGTTCAGGATTGATGTCTGACAGTGCCCTGACATTTATAAATGCCAAACAGCAAAGGGTGGTGCAAATTAAAAACAAATAATGAACCAACAGAAAATAAAAAGGTGTAATTTGCATTTAATATAGCTTTAAGTCCAACACTGAAAGAGGAGTTGTCCTTAGACGTAGATCCAGGACTGGCTTTATTTATAGTTCTTTTGTGGGGCTCAGTACTGGCTTTGAACTGCTGCCGACCTGAAAAAATACTCCTAAGTAAATTGAGATCTAGATCAAATTTGAGAAATGAAATCAAGGTAGTTTTTAAGTTCAAGAGCACACAGGTTTCACTTGCTCCAAATACAAACTGTTGCATTTTGAGTTTATTCTAAGTTTTAGTTTTGTATGAATTTTCCATAGGGTCTCGTTAACAAAGACACTGTTATTAAGATGCAACTTGTTTAAATGAACTTAAGTGTTGCCTTTTACTCAGTGGAACCTTACCTGACCATTTTATGATTTTTATAGTAGACCCATGAGCAAAGAGGCAGAGTTTGCATTCTGTGTTGGGCGATGGGGGCGTCAGAGAGGTCCAGCAGAGCTCTGACCTCTCTGAGTGGCACTGTGGCCACTCCTTGCAAGCAGAAATTGTGTTCTTATTTCCAGATGGTCCAACTGCAAACAGCCAACAGGACTTAACAACAACCATCCCTGAAGAGGCACTAGGTAGGTAATCCTCTGTCATTCCAGAGGGAGTTTCCAGAAGCCTGTGGGATTGACTGTGAAGAGGGCAGCTGAGGGTGTGTGACTGTATTTTGTTGAGAAGAGAAACAAAGAAAGAAAACCTCTCCCATCTCAGGAATAGAAACCTGATCATGGACACTCCCAGGATGAGCTCTGGAAGGCACAGGAAGAACCATCCCTCTGGAAGCCCAGAAATGCAGGGAACAGGATGGATAATGTGCCTCCACTGCTTTTCCAAGGCCCTCAGTTAGTAGCCTTTGAACTCATCGCAATTCCCTGTGGCTGTTTAGGAGCTGCTAAGCAAAGATGGGAAAGGCTGGATCATGTTTGTTGCGCTGCTCCCTATCTGGCTTCTGCCTGGTGATTCTGGGCTGGTATCAGCTCCAGAGGCTGTGGGGAAATCCCTTGTGCTCTGGTGACAATTCTCAGCAGGAGCACACAGGCATTTCTGTGGCTGGAATTGCCTCTCTGTCCTGTCTTTTGGTCAGTGTGAATATGGATTTTACACACCTCTTCTTCCCTTCTGCAGGCTGCCCCCCACCATGGAAAAAACATGGGAGAAAATGCTACTTCTTTTCTCCAGAGGTGAAACCAAAGGACTGGAATGCCTCCCGTGCAGAATGCACTGCCATGGGCTCAGACCTGGTGGTCATTGACAGCAGGGAAGAGCTGGTGAGATCCAGCTCCTGGGGCAGATGCTTAGGGGGCTGGAGCTCCCTGGCCAAGGGCTGAGCAGTGACACTTCTGCCAGCTCCTGTTCCATGTCCTTGGGCTCTGGGACCTGCTGCCACCCATGGACGCCCCAGCCCTGGCAGTGGGAGCAAAGCCCTGCACAGGGAGAGGCCTCCTGGGGCTTGGAGTCCTGTCCCTGGAAGCTTCTGTGCCCAGGCCTGATCCCATGGCAAGGAGCAAACTCCCTGCCCAGCTGGCTGGGCTTTTACAGGCATTTAGCACACAGGCCATGGAGGCTGGACAGACACTTCTTTGTCAGAGCCATGGCTGTGACAAAACCTGAAAAGGCTTTGCCACCCCCATCAGAAGGGAAAAGTGTCCTCAGCCATCAAGTCACACCTGTCTGACTGCAAAGTACAGCTGTAATGGCACCACAGGTGTATTTTTACCTTTGTTATCTTCATAAGAGGCCTCCAAAAGGGAGATGATCTTCAATAGAAATGGAAAAATGCAATCTATGGAGCTGTGGGCAGAGGTGATGTGGCTTGGATGCACACTGCACTCTCTGTGCTGGCTGTTCAGCACTGAGCCTTCTGTGCCTCTGGTGAAGAAAATGTCATTTGTATGTGTTCCCATTGGCTTCCTTTTCAGAGATACCTGCACTCACTATCAAGACATAACTACTACTTACTTGGTCTCACATACTCTCAAGAAGAGCAGAAGTGGAAGTGGATCAACAACGTGGAACATGACCCAGCCATGTGAGCTCCTTCCAACAAGTCCCTGCCATGCATGGGAAGAGGAAAATGTCTGGGAAGAGGAAAATCCCAAAGCCAGAGTAGAGAGCCCAAGGGAGATCAGGGACTGTGGTTTGGGGGAACCTGATTCCTGGAGATGCAGGTGCTTCAGCACATGCCTGTGTCAAGGAAAGGGAGCCTTTCAAGGCCAGGGAACACAGGGCTGTCCTGTAACGATGGCAGGAGAGGACACAGCTGGAGTTCTGCTGGGGAAGGAAGGATCTGGCTGGATGCAGCTCCCTGGGGAAAGGAAGGAGACAGGAGGCAGGGACAAAAGAGAGGGTGATGTCAGCACCATTGGCTGGCGGGAATCAAAGCAGGGGAATATTTCTGCATGGGAAAGCATTGCCCAGAAACTTTTGTGGAGCTGTGGGGAGCAACAGTGAGGGGAGATTCCAGCAAGGCAGCTCCTGGTCCCAGTGACAGTAATATAGCTTAGCAGGTGCCACTCTGCCTTTCACTGCATGTCAGGAATGTGACCACATTTGACTTTTTTCCCCTGTTCAGGTTCAGTCTAAGCAGAAATTATAATGACTATCACTGCACGGTCGTTGGATTTGGTGAAGTACATACTGAAAATTGTGGTGGATCCTCAACAACACAAAATATGTGCGAAAAAGCTGCAACAATGACAAAAAGGCATCAGAAGGAGAGCTAAAAACAAGAGGTCCAGGCTGATATGTTATGCCCAGCTTCCTGTAGGAATTGTGGATGGGATGTCTCATTTCTCTATATCTGCCCAGTCTCTGCTCCCAGGCTCTCCTGCAGCCTCTCTCCAGACTCAGGGCTGAGCTCAGCTCACCCTTTCCCTGATGGTGTCTGAGCCTGGGTGGATCCCCTCTGGAAGAGCTGGCACTGGCACACAGGAGGAGTCTGGGATTAATTATCTCATGCCAGAGGTGGCACTCTCAGGCAGGCACTGCCAAGGGAGAGGAGTCCAGCCTGGGGACAGGGGTGATCCCAAACAGATCCTGACTCTGCAAGTCACATCCATCCACAGCCCCGTGTTCCCAGCCCTGCCTGGGCACAAGGAGACCCTTCCACCCCGGCCACAGCCTAGCCTTGCCTGCAGCCACAAGGGAAGGGCAGCACAGATTTCTGGCTGGGATCCTCTAGGGAAGGGCAACCCCGGAGCCTGCGAGGAGATTGGGAATCAGCCCAAGCGAAAGGATCCTACAGCAGCACAGCTCTGGGCATAAAATCAGCTCCAGTCCTGTGTGGGGAAGGGAAGGAATGTCAGATCTGGGATCTGCTGGGGAGGGCATAGGATGGAGACCAGCAGAAACTGCAAGGCCTGGAGAACAGAATCCCAACAGCAGCTGATCTGGGCAGAAAACAGGACAATGAAACCCATAGTGACCTGTGAAGGAGCTGGTGAGAAGCATGAGAGTGACCCACACTCTCATGCTTCTCACCAGCAACATGGGAATGGCAACATGGTGCTCTGACCTCTTTTCACTGGAGATTGATCACAGAAGGAAATGATGCCTGAAGGCTTTTCCTGCTCAGAAATGTTCAAGCCAACAGCAGAAATATCTGGCATCAGGAAAACAGAGTTGTGTTAAGAAACAGGGAATGTAACCAAAGCTCTGCCCATGTTCTTTAGGGGCTCTTGGGATCCTGGGCCTTGTGTGACTCCAAGAATATTTCTTCTTGCTGTGTCCTTTAGGCAGAATCATTGCTCCTTTATTGGTGCTGTTCAAGGCTCTCTCCTTCAGCTGCAGGGTGGAGAAAGCTCTGTGAAGTCCTTGAAGAAGTGACACTGATACTCTTGGAAAAAATTGCTCAATCAAAAAATCCATATACAAAAAATCCAATGTTGTGGCCATTGGAAGGGAAAATGGAATCCTACAGGAAAAACTGTCTCTTTCTAAACTGAAAGCACATTTTGACATCCCTCACAGCAGCCATCCTCCTCACTGACTGCTCACATCAAGATGTTTTGGAAACGTATTTGCAGTTCTTTCCCTGACTTTCCATCCCCGTTGCGGTGTGTTGTCACGGTGTGCCTCAGTTCCCCTGGTTTCTCCCTGAAGTTTCCTTCCCCAGGTGGTGTGTCAATCACCTCTCCTTTCCCCACCCTTGACCCCTGCTGGGCATTGTCTATCAGCCCAGCAATTCCAAGGGGAGCGTCAAGTGATTGGCAGGTTCAAAGGATGCTCTCCACCCCCTGGGGGGCATTGGCCCACCCAGGTGTCCCTCTCATCTGAGACCCCCTCCTCCCCCTGTACCTGGTTGGCGGTCCCTGTGTTCCCTCCCCTCGCCCTCTCCCCGGCTAAAAAGGCAAGCACACCACGCTGTCGGGAGTTCTGTTGGAGTTGTTGCAGGGTTCAGAGGCCATGCGGCCCAAAATAAAAACCCTGGGTTAAAAACTCTCCATCAGGACCCGCTCCTTTCTTCACCATTGCCTTAAAGGTTTCTCCAGCTCAGGAAGGCTGAGGAGTGACCCCCTCAACAGCAAGCTCCAGCCCGCAAGCACTGGGGCTCGGGACATGCCTGGACTTGTCTCCAGGTGCTCAGCTGTGAGCACAGGCACTGAATAGCGACTCTGGGGAGGAAGGCCCACAGGTGCCGCTGTTTGGTCAGCAGCCGAGGCCAGACAGACCAAGGCGGTCCTGTTCGGTAATATTGGCAAAATCCAATACATCCCCAAAGAACAGAGTAAGAACATGGAGCTGTAGCAGAGCAATCCCAGTGTCAGACCCCAGGATCTGTACTGTTATTTCAGAAGGAAGCTGAGCTGGAGGGGTTCTTTGCTTGCACTCATTTCACTGGAGAGGGTGGGAGAGCATTCTGTGTTGTACTATAGATTTCTGCCTTCTATTTTCATATTCCAGCTGCCCTGATCCCTTGGATCAGGTGGGCTCTTCTGAAGGTAGGGCCAGGGAAAAGCCTCTTCCCTGGGAGCCACTGACCCTCAGTTGGAGCCTTCAGCAGGCAACAGAGGCAGCAGCTGTGCATCAGAGGGGTGGGAAGGGGAAGCCACCCTGGGGCCAGTGTGGAACTGCACGAACTCCATCAGACCCAGAAAGCCACAGGAAGTTTGACTGAAAGTGCTTTGTTTCCTCTGTCTCTGTGTTGTTCTTGTTCACAATTCTCTGATCTTGTGACCTAAATTTTACAATAAACTTCCACTTCACAGCTTCTGACTCTTGGATTACCTCTGGCATCCCTACTGCAAGGGAAGGGTGAAACATTTCTTTCTCCTTCTGTGCTCAGTGCCTCAGAGAATGCCAGGCTGGTTTAATTCTTGCTGCAGCTGGGCAATAGGTGACACTCCCTGAGACAGGCCAGGCTGGCAGCACCAGCCCCAGAGGAGAACATCCTGGACACAGGACTGGCTCCATTAGTGATCTTTATCAAGGAGAACCTATGACAGGAACACCTCCAAGAGCAGATCCTCAGGGCTTGTCCTGTTTCTATGGACCTGTATCCCAACTGTGTCTCAAGCCAGCTGTGGTATTTAGGATACACTTAGTGGAAAAAATGCTCTGAGTATCTTGACAAAAATCACAACCAAAGGATTTTGGTTTTATTGCAGGAGAAAACAGTAAATGAAGGCAAGGTTCTCAAAAGAAACCACCCCAAACCATTAAAAAAAGCCCAGAAGCTGTTGCATAGAAGTAACTAAGCAGAGACAGACATGAACAGACATCTCAGAGACGAGTGATACTTTATGTAAACAAAAGAAGTTCATGCAGTATTGCACATGCAAACAATTTATCTGGTTCTAAATGACAAATGCACCAATGCAAGAAATGGACCTCACTGCCAAATGGGCAGTTCAGGGAGGATGCACTGCCAATGCAGATTTGCTGTCAGAACAGCAAGCAGGGCTCAGGACACACAGAGAACACCTTAAATGCAGCACTTACAGTGTCACAGAGCTTGCAGCGATCACTGGCAGACTGGGTTCCTTTTTAGCACACACTGGAGTTTCTGGAACCATTTTCGGTTTGTGGCTGCAAAGGCTTCAAATGGTGAGTGACTTTTCAAGGTGCTAAGTGTGATGTTTGCTCTGTGGTGAGTCACAAGTTATCTATAAAGGAATTCTGTTATTTCTTGGGAAGTGGTCCATGGGAATCTCATGGGGTTTAACAGGACCATGTGCTGATGCTGTACCTGGGATCAATCCAGGCTGGGGATGAGCAGAGGGAGCAGCCCTGGCAGAAGGACTTGGGGGTGCTGTGGGTGAGAGCTGGCCCTGCCCCAACCCAGAACTCCCCTGTGCTGGGCTGCACCCACAGCCCCAGGGCAGCAGGGCAGGGGGGATTCTGCCCCTCTGCCCCGCTCTGATGAGTGCTCCCTGCAGGGCTGCATCCAGCCCTGGGGCCAGCACAGGAAGGACAGGGAGCAGCTGGAGCCAGGCCAGAGCAGGGACACCAAGGGGATCAGAGGGATGAAGCATCTCTGCTGGGAGGAAAGGCTGAGGGAATTGGGATTGTTCAGCCTGGAGAAGGCTTTGGGGTGACCTCATTGTGGCCTTGCAGTGCCTGAAGGGAGCTTGTAAAAAAAGAGGGAGAGTGACTTTTTACCTGAGCAGATAGTGACAGGACAAGAGTGAACAGTTTTGAACTAAAATAGAAAAGATTTAAAGCCGATACTAGGAACAATACTCAGGGGGTTGCTGAGGCCCTGACACAGGCTGCCCAGAGAAGCTGTGGCTGCCCCATCCCTGGCAGTGTTCAAGGCCAGGCTGGATGGGGCTCTGAGCAACCTGGGTTAGTGGAAGATGTCCCTGCCCATGGCAGAGGGGTTGGAATTAGATAAAGTCCATTCCAATCCAAACCATTCCATGATTCTATGAGTCTCAAAAGGTACTTGGGGATTATTTGGGGTAGCAGCAGGCAGGAGGCAGCACCACAGGATCCAACTCTGACTTTTCAAGTCAGTCCCACGAAAGCCCTCTTGTACAATGCCATGCTTTTTCCTTAGAATGTTTGCATTTTTCTCCTTACATCATGGCAATATTTTAAAGTAACTTTCCAGTGATTCACTTTGGAGAATTCTGCCTTTAGACTTCAAGAAATTCCTGTCTTGTTTATCAACTTTTATTTTAGGAATTGTCTGGAGGCTTCTTAGCCAAACTGATCAGGGAAAGTGAAGGTGAAGGTGAGTGTCTCAGTTACAAGCATCTGGGGTTAATAACAGTAGTTTTGAGGATCAGATGATTCACAGCTATGTTGACAGCATTTCTCAGAGTTTTTTTTTGCCAGCCTGGAGAATCTCCTGCAGCTGTGAGAATTACCTTCTGTACTCGTGGGTGAACACAAAGAGAGCGCTCACTTCTGAATGCTCTGTGGTTAAAAGCCACAATGCTATTTTTGACCTCAGTGACAGGCAGGACTGAATGGCAGGAGCCCAAGCCACTCCTTCAGAGCAAATAAATGCTGAATAAGCTGTTCTTAGAATGCCAGCTATGCACACACCAATGTTCCACTGTCTCCTTGTATGTGAAACATGCTCTACATCAAGCAGGTACTGAACCTCCCTGCTGCCCTAATTCCACATCCCCTCTCATCCTCTGCCCCTATGGATTCATGTCTTGAAAAACCTCTGGAAAAGTCTCCAGCTTGTGCTCTCTGGACCCATCACCTCTTCTCTCTCCTGCGGATCCTCAGTTCCCTAGCCTCCCTGAAACCACTATGCCTTAAGCCTTGTCACACATATCCTTTGGATTCCTCTTCATCCTTTTATCTTTCCTGTTCTTCCCCAGTGCCTTCCTGGGAATTTTGACCAGTCCAGCTCTCCCAGTTCAGTGCTTAAATGAACTCCTGCTGCAGGCAAAGGCTAAAATCAAGCGCAATTCAAATTATACTTATGGAAGTATAAAGTTTATATGGTTCCTAATAAGCTGTAAACACAAACACCTGGAGATTATTTTCAGCAACTCACCACTGCTCAGAATCCTTGGCAATCAAAGTAATTGGAGACTGCAATGAAAGCTTAAAGTGTAACCCCCCATTCCTATGGTTTTCTGTTTGAAGTTTCCTGCCCAGGTACAGAAGGATGCTTATTTTGGATAAACTACTGCTGAATTCCTCACCAGCCTCACACAGAGCCCACATGATGACTTGGAAAGAGCTGTGTTCCTCAGGCTGTTTGAACACACAGCACAGCCCGGATCTGTTGTAAGTACAGCAGTTATTGTGCAAAACCACCAGATGAAATGGATGATATGTGTGGCCCTGTCTTCCAAGCAATGCTGAAATTTCTATTGGACCTTCATCCCCAAGGGCAAGCCAGCATCATCAGGCTTTATGTTCTTCTAGGTAAAGCAAATCACTGGCCAGGGTTTCCAAATAGGTTTAAGTAATCAACATTTAAATACTTGATTTTACTCTCCTTCTCCATACAAAAGAAGAAAAATAATAAATATGGAATAAATAAAATTGGGGGGGGGGGGGGGGGG